GCAGCAGGGCGTGCGCGCAGGCCGCCCTGCGCCCGGCAGGGCCTCTCAGCGCGCCCGGCAGGAGGCGCCTGAAGTAGAAGTGCCTGTCCACGTCGCGCCCCAAAAAACGCAGGAAGACCGGGTCGCCTCAAGTAGCAGCGGTGCAGGTTTGCGACGGGCTCGAAGGCGTCGGCGCCACGCACCTCCAGGCCCGGGCGCCGCCGGGCAAGGTAGTACTCCAGCTTTCCGGAACCGAAGAAGGGCGAGTGCAGCACCGTGACGTCGCCCAGCAGCCGGTCCAGGTGCGGCGATTTGCTTCCCATGTATTTCAGACGCATGCGGCCGGCCTTTAGTTTTAGACGTCTCTTAGAAAACTCCGGGCGTGGTACGGCGAATCCCATATATCTTCCAGTCTCGCCGCCCGGCTTCCCTTCTTCGAATTTGGAAAGTAACGCAAAGGGACGAATGGGGAAGATCAAGCTTTTCCCCACGACCGAGTACACCAGCAAGCAAGCCTCGGACCCCGTGGTGCCCCTGGCGCCGTGCACCGGCATCTTCCTCGGGCCGTCGAAATCGGGCAAGACCGTGGCGCTGATCAGCCTGATTCTGGAGCAGTGTCGAGGCGTCTTCGAGAGAATCTACGTCTTCAGCCCGAGCGTTAACATCGACGACGGCTGGATCCCCGTCAAGAAGTACATCGAGGAGGACCTGGGGGTGAACACGGAGCGTGAACAGGCTTACTGGGACGAGTGGGACGAGCCGGCGCTGCGCCGCATCATCCAGCAGCAGCGCAAGATCACGGAGGCGTCCAAGAAGTTGGAGATGAAGAAACTGTACCAGGTCCTGATAATAATCGACGACTACGCCGATAGCCCGCAGCTCCACAAGTCCCACGACGCCCTTGGGTGAGCTCCCAGAAGCTGAGGCTCATCAGCGCCGCCGCAGCACGAGCTGGACGGCGTCATCGAGGAGCTGAGCGCACTGCTGCCGAAGGAGCAGCTGTACCGGCTGTACGAGCAGGCGACCCGAGAACCTTACAGCTTCCTCTTCGTGTACTACCTGAAGCCGAAGAACGAAATGTTCTACAAGCGCTTCGAAGAGCGTTTCGCGCTTGGAAAAGCTCCCGATGGGAGCGGCGCTCAGCTTCCTGGGCCAGAAGCTGGTCGCCAGCTCCACGCTGATCAACGCGAGGTGTGAGCTTCCGTCGCAGCCGTCCAGTCGCCCGTCGTTTGCCGGACGGGCGGCTTCCTAAAGAGAAGGATCTACGTTGACAGCCGCAAGAGGGTGGCCGGCTCGGACAGCGACTTCGAGGTCGACCTAGGAGAGCGAAGTCGAGGTCGGGTTGCGCGGCTCGGCAGGCTGGAGGCTTCGATGCCAGGCAGAGGCTTCGATACCCGGCAGGGACGTGGCGCGTGGCGCGCCCGAAGTGCCAAGCCGTCACCGTATGACCGTATGACCGTATGATCCGTATGATTCGTATGACTTGGCAGGCTGGCGTCGAGGCTTTGATGCCGGGCAGGCAGGTGGCGCGGCAGGCACCTCGGTATCGAAGCCTCACAGTCCGCCGGGCCTACATGTGCTATATGGGTCCTCCACTCCCCCGGGTCGTACTATATGGCTCTCACAAGGCAACCCACAGAACCCGGGTCCTTGCTATATGTGCTATATGTACTATATGGCTCTCACAAGGCAACCCACAGAGCTGTATACTATACTCATAGCACCTCAACATGTACCAAATATGCATTGTGTAGCACATATAGTGTATTTAACGCGCGTCTCGATACCATATAGTACATATATAGGACATATAGCAAGGAGCCCGGAGAGTGTGGGGGTTCAGTGGGTTGGCGTGTAAGACCCATATAGCACATATAGCACATATAGCAAGGAGCCCGGAGAGTGTGGGGGTTCAGTGGGTTGGCGTGTAAGACCCATATAGTACATATAGCACATGTAGCAAGGAGCCGGGGGACTGTGGAGGTTCCACAGGTTGTTGGCGTGCACGCCTCGAGGCCGTTTTTGGATCAATTTTGAATCAATGTTGCTGCAACGAAAGTCAACCATGGATCAATTTTGATGCAATATTGCGGCAACGAGAATCAACCATGGATCAATATTGGAAGCTCTCTCTTTAGAGGGAGTTTCCCAAACGGATTCTATTCCACCTGGTAGGCTCCTGACACTCGTCCGTCCAGGAAACGACCTCGTCCTGCGAAGGATTCGAAATCTAAAATGCTGCGTGCAGGCGTGTGGCTGCAACATAACGACCCCTAGATATGCGCCACAATTTGGCTCCAGGTTGCATTTCAAGCAAGGTCAAGCTTTGCCAAAGGAAACCCCTTTTCCCTTTTTTTTGGGACCCCTTGTTTGGGGGACTTTTTTTCTTTTTTTTTCCTTAGCCCTGCAAAGGTTGGCTTGCTTGAAATGCAACCTTCGCAGGACGAGGTCGTTTCCTGGACGGACAAGTGTCAGGAGCCTACCAGGTGGAATAGAATCCGTTTGGGAAACTCCCTCTAAAGAGAGAGGCCAACCATTTACAACACTTTGCAAGAAGCTGGGTGCGTGCGAAAGCCGAGCGCTTGGAAAGCAAGAAGAAACCAAGCAAAACCAAATTATCCACAGGAACATTGCCCATAGACGCAAGCCGCGCTGCGCACAGCCGGATGCACGCATTGCATCCTGCGCAACCAATGCCTTCGATTGTTTTACGCCTTACCGGTAACACACCTGGCGTCTGGGCTTTGTTGACCACAGGAGCATTTAAGAGGCCGCAGGGGGGTGCAGGCACAGGGAAGAACACGCATGTCTTTTTCCCGCCCCCAAGTCTTGACTTCCAAGCAACGCGCAAAGAAAAAGCAAGCGCGCCATTTGTTGGTGCTTTTTTGTCTTTGGCTTGAAGATGCAAACCGTTCTGCCATGGTCGTGCTGCTGCAGACACAATGCAATCTGAAGGTTGTTTTTCCGACAGCATGAGCATGAGATTGCAGAACCAGCATCCCCCGCACACGGTGCAAGGTTGGGACCTGTCGAGGCGGTCACTGCATGCAGGGACATGCTATGTGCGGTACCTGTCGGCACTGCGGTGCTCTCTTGCACTTTGCAAAGACACCTGAGCCGGAAAGGGGTGGGCGGGCGCAACGAGGGGCCCTTACGCGTGGTCTTAGGGGCTTGAAGCAGAAAACGGCAACGCGTCCGAAGATGCAATCAAGATTGAAACATAGGGGAAAAGGACCAAACGTTAGACTTAACACTGCTTCAAGCCGCAAGGGAACATCAGCAAAAGACAGTACAACCAACAAAATGGTGCGCTTGCTTTTTGGGCGTGCTTGGAAGTCAAGGCTTGGGGGGCGGAAGAAGACATGCGTGTTCTTTCCCTGTGCCTGGGGCCCCCTGCGGCGTCTTAAATGCCTCCGTGGTTAACAAAGCGGTTCGACCAGACGGCAGGTGTGTTACCGGTAAGGCGTAAAACAATCGAAGGCATTGGTTGCGCAGGATGCAATGCGTGCATCCGGCTGTGTGCAGTGCGGCACACGGTGCAAAGTTGGGACCTGTCAAGGCGGTCACTGCATGCAGGGACTATGCGCGGTACCTGTCGGCGCTGCGGGCTCTCTTGCACTTTAAGAAGACACCTGGAAAGGGGGGTGGGCGGGCGCAAAGCGTGCTCTTAGGGGCTTAAAGCAGAAAACGGCCACCGAAGATGCAATTAAGATTTTAGAGGAGAACAACGTTAGACTTAACACTGCTTCAAGCCGTAAGGGAGCAGGGAGAAAGACAAGCGTTCTTTCCCTGTGCCTGCACCCGCCTGCCAAGCAAACGGCTTATCGCAGCACTTTCATGCTCCGGCGCATAGTGCGTCGGCCGGATGACAGCGCGGATTGGGCCAGAAATCATGTGGGCAAACCGAAAGCGAGCATGCGGCTGGCGTTAAATGCGGCTGTGTTTCCGCGGCTGAGCTGATCAGCCCACACGTTAAGCTTGCCTGGGTGCGCGACGCCAGCACGATTGCAGAAAGCCGAAGATGTGGATGGCTTTTGGTTCTTGATGCTGGAGAGATTTCAAAGTTGGCGTGCGGGAAGAGCTTAGTACAATTGCTTCTGCTGTTGTCGTGTGGCACCTGCTGCAGTTGTTGCACGGTACAGCATCGAAGTAAGTCCTGGGCGGGTGGAGAGTTTTCAGCGAATGGAGTTTTGGCAGTGCTTGAGGCTTTCAAGCGTGCATCGGCGCTCATCCTATCATAGATTTCTGGCGGCTTGCAGCGACAATGGCGCCAGAGCGGGTACTGCCTGGACGTCAAGCATGGTGACTCCTTGTCTGGTGTTGCGTTGAAGGCTGCAGCCGTCACCAACAGCCACTGCTCAAAGACATTCTTCCTGTGTTGAAAAGATGGGGGGGCGCGCAATACAAGAAGAAGGAGTTCGACAAAATTCACCCGTTCTCTGCTGGGGTAGGAGGCTCAAGAATGAGCTGGCAACTGCACAGACTGCAATCACCTTCATGTTGGACAAGTTCAAAAACTTGTATGCGGATGCAGCAACTTGAACATATGTTTTGATTTTGGCGCCCCTTCACAGGCTTGCTAACAGTTGAGAAGGTTGCCCGTTTTGCTCGTCCGCACGTTTTCATGGCTCAAACTAGCGGGGGGGTTGGACGGTTGGATGGGTGGGCTTGCCTACGTGATAGATGCGGTTTGCAGAACATGTTACAAGTCTGGTGCATGCAGCGCTTGACAGCAGGAGTCAGCATGTCCACGCAACGGAGTTGCTCGCATACAGTCGAAACATCGTATGGATTTTTAGGCAATCACGACAATGTGAGCTTATGGGCAGCCAGGCCTCCGGCTGCTGTTGGGTTTTTGAACCAACTTGATATGTGCACCTTGGACATGAGAGCAGAACTCAACAAGAATGACAGAAAGTATTGTTAGCTTCAAAGCTTCAGGGGATTCACAAAACCTTGTGGCTGTGACGTGTCTCGTGGAAGTCGAATTTTCAGACTAGACATTCGTGCTGCCTGCTCAGCTGACGTGCGGCTGCTGTGCGAAAGATGGAGGCAGCATTGTCGAAGATCGACAGGACAGATCTTGTACCATAGCATCAAGGTTTTATTTTGACCAAGTCACTCGTTGAATCCGTCACAACAAAAGGGGGGTTGGTGGTGACAAATCAGGTGACCAACATCAGATGATCGCATCTTGTAAGCATGAGTGCATCAATTGGACGTGCAGGACTCGCGCCCTTTCTTTTGCAGGCCTGAGAAGTCAGCACGCCTGCGTAAGATCTTGACCTGAGACCACACGTCGCAGGAAGTCCTGTGGGCTTGATGAAGAGACAGACTTTCTCTTCTGCGACCCCGCGGGGGTCTGTTTTGAGGACACCCTCGCGGCAGTGGATCAGAAGGACCCGATAGCCAAAGCTAGCTGTATGCTGGTGTGTCAATTGAGCGGATCACTTTCTCAGGACAGACTCAGCTTCCGATTCGCAGGCAGTGTCATTGGTCTTTGAGCGATCCACAATGATCGCCAATGCCAATGCATAGATTAGACTTGTACCGACTCAGGCTCTTCGAATTTGGCTGCTCTGAGATGGCGCTTTGTCTGGGGTGCTAGTCCGAAGGCTACGCATTTCTGAGATGTGTGCTCAAGCATTGACACCATAACAGCTTGTTTTGGGTCAGGTTGCTGACAGCAATGGCACGACGTTGCTCCACGTTGCGGCCCGAGCAGGCAGCTTTCAAATTGTGAAGGCTCGGCCCCCAATACCGCCTTTACTTTCAAGGGAATGTACCACTTGAATTGTGACAAGATATGCAGGACCTTGTTCTTCGGTCCATTGACGTCAACTCTGTCGATTGCCACGTGCTCACCAACCGCTTGTGATGCTGGATGATTGTCGAAACTTTCTGGTTTGAGCCAATGATTGGTGATGTTTTGCAAGCACAGACTTTCCAGACTAGTGGCATTTGGCTAGGTGCTGGGTGGACGCCACTTCATGTGGCAAGCTGCATGGGACGCCAGGCAACGGCACGGATCATGCAGATTGACTGTGGACATACTGTATTTCCGTCTCTTGCAAAGGGGATGCTGAAACATTGACTTGCAGAGGATGTATCGCTGTACCTCTTGCAAATGGGTGCAAAGTCCACCAGAACTTCCAGGCCCCCGTTTTGAGCCTGTGCTGAAACTCGCAGTGACCCATGGCAAATGGAATGTGAAGTCCAACACGTGCGCTGCTTCCATTGAGGGGCCACACGGCGGAAAGCCTCTGCAGCCACCCGCACACCAAAGAGGCGATTTGGGGTCGATTTTCTCGGGCTGTCGCTTCTATGGCTTGCCTGAGCTGCACTGCGCTCATTCAGGTGGTGGTAGGCTTCGAAGAGCGGCGGCCCCGAGTGACGCAGGCCATCCCGGCGAGAGGTGAGATTGATATTGAACGTAGGGACGACGATGATGTTGGTGCTGTTTGTGGACAACTCACTTCTGGTACTTATGCTTAAACACAGCCTTTCGGCTCACTTTCCAGCAGGAGCAAGTATGATGCCAGGATCTTGAACTTTTGTTGGGTGGATGTTGAAAGGAAAAGTGACTCGTCTCCGCTTCTCTAGTCATTTCTGTTGCAAAGGATCAATTATTTCTAGCGCCGCGGAGCTCTCGGGCACGTCGTTCTTCCATCTCCAGCCGCTACTGTGTTGAGGCAAGCAACTTTGACACTATACATTGTTTTGTCATGGCTCACATGGCAATGGCGCGTCGCCAAAGTGCAGACTTCGGGAAAGGTGTCGCTCGCTTGCATTGAGCACATACGAGGCTTCCGAATTGGGAGAACAGGGCACACCGAGGATCCTGGAACCCCAGCTTCCAGCGAGCTTGGCCGCTCCGGTGCCTTGCCATATACTTTTTATGTCTGACTGCGTCAGAGAGCCAAGCTAAGGCCAGCCTAATGGCCACACTAGGGCCACAAGCTGCTTTGGAAGCGAAGCGCGCAGCGATCGGCAGTCACCTGGGATGAAGCTACGGGGACCGCTGAGAGTTGTAGAGATGAGATGATTTGCGGAGGTAAGGAAGAGGTTCACACACGTGCGACAGAAGGAGTGTTTTTCACGGGCAGGAAATTGGTTGGGGGTTGCAAAAATGGCCGGATGGGGCGCGAAGCCACCCGCACTGAGGCTCCAGGCCGTGCAGGTCATGCGCCTGGAGAACAACGTGGTGGACAAGAGATGCGCGGAGACCGAGGCTTTGATCCAGTCCAAGGCGAAGGGCTGGGCAGACGCATTGGTCCTTTTTTTTGTTGGTCGGGACGCGGTCCTCCTTGGGGATCCCCGAGTTCCGGTACTGGAGTTGTTGTCTAATCAGAGGTGTGGAGCTCACTTATGCTTTACGTATTTGTGCAAGGGTCAAAACTCGCGATGCACAAATTATTATGTCAGCTGCCGTGACGTGACACAAATCTTAAAGCGAGGAGCGACACCCTTGTTTCGGCCTTTGAGGGCTAGATGAAGAGGAGCTTGTATGTAGCTAATGCTTTTGCACGAAGAGCGCGTTGGTTGAATTCTCCTTACGTTCAAATAATGTGGTTGCACTCAATTAAAGTGAAGTAATGTGCTGCGTGTTTTCCATCATCCCCAGCAGAACTTGGCTAGTGCTAGCCTGACGGAAGACTGGCATATCTCCGTTGAAACAGAATCTGCTAAACCGCTAGGCTTTGCACTTGTGGAAAAGCAGTGCAGCAACCCCCCCGATCATCTGGAAAGGTGTGTTCGTTTTGTGTACTTTGCGGGCTTCGCGGTAAACAAAAGTCCTGAAACTTGAGACTTTCGGCCGAGCTGTGACAAACGAGCTGCCCCTGTGTGGAGCGACACCCGTAGCCAACCACGGAATGTGTTTTGACTGGCGCAATTTGGTGCCAGTGCGAAGATGCGGACAGTTGCAGGCTCTTTGCATGCCGGGCAACAAAGGGCCGAGGTCTTGTGGTGCTTTGTCCACGCGGTATTCGTAAAGTAGGTTCCAGTGGCAGGTGCGGCAACTGGAAGTGGGCCGCGAGCAGCTGAAGCAGGAGCAGACGCGGCTACAAGAGATGCAGCGAGCGCTGAAGCGACAGCAGGCCGGAGCCCCTTCCACGCAACCTGTCCGAGCTCGGACCCTTGCCTTGGCCTTTTGGTCCCATGGCCCCTTTCTGAGTTGGATACATGCTTTACATGCTTTCAAAGCGCAGGCCCAGCAGATGGCGCCCGGGTCTCAGTTCGATTCTCGATTCTTGGGCTTCGGATTGCTTTTTGCACTCGAGGCCCGGACGGATGTGGCAGGGTTACGAGCCAGGCCTGCGGGCCGGGCAGTGAGACCAGTCACTGTGGTTTTTGGCAGGCCTCCTATGCTCGTCTTTCCCCGGGCTCCGGGAGGCGCGAGGGATGGCGCACAAGGTCACACAAATGGGGAAGATGAGTCGATGAGCGCAGGCTGTTCCATGTATAAATTGTTTTTTTGTTGAGTGGATGGGTAAAGTTGGCACCTTGGATGTAGCGATCTTGACCGGCGAGCTTCACCTGCCGCCTTAGCGTGCTGCTGAAGTTGGTGTAAGTCCAACATTTGTTCTTTCGACCTCACTTTGCTATGCGATATCCGCTGCACTTGTTGCAGGACTCAGTTTTTTCTTTTTGTGCTTCATTCTCCTACCTTGCATGGAGCTTGTCCCAGCATTGCCCGAATGAATGGGCGGGACCCTTTAAACACTTCACGTGTGGCGCAGGTCTGATGGCCACTCCTGTCAGGTGCTCGCGGAGGGCTTCAGCGGGCGTGCGGCAAAGCTCGGCCCAAGGTCGATTTGGGCGTCGGAAGCGGACGCTGGGCTCTTTAGGCTGGCTCGGGGGGATGGGCCAATGACATGAGCAGGCACTTACCAACGAGGTTTCCACTGAACGAGGCATCTTGTCCCATGCTGGAGTCTAGTCTGGCTTCCTCCTTGGAAATTTCAGAAGCCTCTTGCCCTTTGAGTGATGATGCCACCTTTGGCGCTAACCCTCGTCATGATGCAGAGATGCCGTTCGGCCCAGAGTGCCCTAGCGAGATCGCATCCACGAAAAAGAGCAAATTTCCATGCACCGGCCAGTTGGACCAATGGGCGCTGAGGAGTTTGCAGTTCATGAGAGCAGAGCTGAAGAGCAAGCGGCGGCTGCCTGGTCGGAAGCCTTGAGCTTGCAGCTGGCTGCCAAGCAGCAGCAGCAGTGCCTTGGCCCCAAGTTATTCTGATGACACGAACATTTGGATTTGTCTCCAAATGGAGGCAATGCTTTGACGCAGGAAACCGACTTTGAGGCAAACCCGCGTCACTCACTTGGCAGGCGTTTGGCTGAGCTCGAGCTGCAGGAGCAGTTGCGGGTGGAGCGCTCCGAAGCGCTGAAGCTGGAGAAGCAGCAGGCGCTGAAAGCGCGCGGAAAACGCGAGCCAGCGCAGGCATCGCAAGAGGAAACCAGGTGGAGGTCCACATGACCTTTGGAATGGTTTCTTGGCCTTTGGAGATTCGGAACAGTCTGTCACCCATTTGCCACTGCACACCTCAGCCCGGATGACAGTGACAGCCGTTTTCAGGTGGTTGTTGAGGAGGAGGCTCAGCAGAGAGCTCGGGAAAAGTTTCGCAAGGAGCGGAAGACTGTAGAGGCATGTCACAAAGGCACTGTTGCCTTTTTTTGCCTCCCTGGGATGTGTGGCCCGAAAAACATGTCTGAGTTCGACTCAACTTGCGATGGGGTGGGTGCCTGCACGCGGCGACATGGGCCATGCCGCCGATAGCTAGGAGCTGAAAGAAGAACTGCAGCAAGCGGAGACTGCCTGGCTAGACAGGATGACGCCCGTTTGGCGTGAAGAGTCTGAAGAGGCCTGGAGAATGAGTCAACTGCTTGAAGGAGGCAGACATGCTGGAAATGGGGTGGCAGGGGTGGGTGACAAACATGAAGCATTGGCGTATCTTTCTACACACGAAGCTTAGTTTGAGCCTGAGCTATCCGATCATAAGTAAAATGAATTGATGATCGCCGTAAAGCAGCTCTGTTTTTACTTGCTCACCATTCAGCTGCCACCTATGCGTGACCGCCTTCTCTCCATTCTTCTGTCCAACATTGTTTTTTCTCCCTTTTTTCTTGGACTTTTTGTCTTCTCTTTGCCTTTCTCTTATCTTTTTGTTCCACTCTTCCCTCTCGTTTTTGCCCTTCTCTGCCCATTATCCTCCCTTCATCCCAGTTCATCGTTTCGGTCCTTCTATTCCCGCCATTTTTTTGATAGCTTTCGCTCCCTCATCTTGCTGCAGGTGAAGTGCAAAGTCCACTTAGTCGAGTTAGAGATGCAGAGTCAGCGCCGCGCTCAGCTGGCGCAAAGACTTTGCCCGTGGCATCGGGGGCGGGGGGCAGATGCAGCCCATGGCAGCGAGGCAGCAGCGCATGCGCAGCTGGTACGCGGATGAGTCCGCGACCATGGCAGTGCGAGAGGAAGCGCGAGCCGAAGCCTGGCTGAGCCAGGTCTGGGCTCGCGCTGAGGCACAAGCAGAGAAGGAGGCCAGAGAATGCCATTGTGTGAAACACATCCAGTCTATGGTCCCCAAACTGGAGGGACAAAGGGGGCACTCGCGAACTGCCCACAAAGACCACAAAACAGCCACAACACGCATAATTTTCGTGTGTCATCTAAGACAGCCGACCATTTGTTCTTGGCTCACGTGGAGAGGGTCCCCGGTATCTGAGATGGGCATGCTGGCCTCTTGTTAGCTGGGCTTATGAACCTTACCCCCGCATGGACGCGCGTTTGAGTGCACAGCTGTGGCTTCAAGTAAGCCCAAGAAAAGGCAGGTAGAGAGACTTGGGGAGAGACTCCTAAGGCAATGAGATTGAATCAGGCTTCGCTGGTTCACTGGTTGTTGGCAGAACACTTGCCAACAAGCTTAAAGTACCCCGACAGGAAAGAGCAACTGCTTTTGAACGGTCGTCAAACCTGCAAGCGTGCACAGTTATGATATGCTTGTCTTGGGCACCGATAGGGTCAGGGCAATGAGATGACAGCTTCTTCTCGACCAGGTGGATACCGTCAGGGCTATGCATCAGCGACTGGTGCAGTGCATGGGGCACACACCAAAAGTGCGATCCTGTGATGGAGACGCTCAGCTGTAACATGATCATACGAATCTTCAGCATGATCACAATCTTGCCTCCTGCAGTCTTCCTTCTATTCTCATACATGTTGTTCCCATTTGCAGCTGTTTTCTCACTATCTTGAAGGTTTCTTCTTTCCGCTTTTCGCGGGCTATGGCTTTGAGTGTTTGGATCCACCAAAGGGTCACACTCAAATCCACACCCCAAAGAGCGTGTAGGTTGTTGTTGGCACCCTTTTTCGGTTTAGGGTAACAGGAAGCCTACTCCTTTGCAAGTTCACGTAGAACCCGAAACGGGGGACAGGGACAACCCGCCATGGAGGCTGGCAGGGTGTATGCCATGGCAACGCCTTTGTAAAGTGGGTAAGGACAAGGGACACCACATGGGAGGTTCCAAGCTTGCCTTGGAAGACCACGCCTCTGTAAGAGACAAGTCTTCAGCAAAACCAAAAAAGTCAACAATTGTCTAACAAGTAAATTCCACAAACAACGCCCAACACGGCCCCATCTTTCTCTCCGTCCTGTCTCTCCCACGGCCCCCCCCCCCCCCGCCCCGTCGACGGCGCTCGGGAGGTGCAGCAGCGCGTCTGGCGCGTGGAGGCCCAGGCGGAGGAGACCGCGGCCAGGGAGCTGGCCCTGCGCGACGCCCAGGCGGAGACTCTGAACCGGGGGGAATTTCCGGGCCATAGCTCGTTTTGGAACCCTCCTTTCAGTGGCGGTTTCCGGCTAAAAACAAAATCCGCCAGGAAGCTGCAGCCTTGGAAGCAATTCCGGGGACCCCTGACCCTTGGAATCGGAAAAAAGACACAACACCACCATCTCAAGAAACGGTACCACACAATAATGTGTCAAAGAGAATACCAGTGGCCGGGAGGTCCTCAAACCATGACCGTGGCACATGTGGGGTCGTCTTTTAAGAAGTTGGTACCCTTTTTTGGGGTTGCCTCAAAGGAAATCTGATTTTGGGGTCCCCCTGTTTTGCGACACAACCATCGGTTTGGTTGAAATATCCAGGAAGTTTTACACACGCACATTGGGAGGACTCACTCATTGTCCATAGCTTCAACATGGATTGCCCAGCGGAAAAAGCGCCCTGGAAAGGCCAAAGAAAGCGCTGCTGCCCTTGAGGCGATGCAGGCAGCAAGAGGGACTTGGGTGTGTGGCTTGTGTTCCGTTTTTTGAAATGGGTACCGTAGGTACCCTATATGTTTCTCCATTCTGTGTCGTAGATCACAAGGAGCATCACTTCTTGCTCACTCACTACAAATGTGCTTATGCTTCTCCTGCAACCTCACACATACGCAAAAGCTTTTCCCAGTCGTCTGCCGACCAGTTGAATCGGTGCAGAGCGCACCGGCGCTGTGAGACTGGCAAAGCGGACCTCTTTGTGATGCTCGTCACACATTGCACTTTGCATGGACGGCTGATAGGGCTGGTCAACGAACACATATCTACGCATGGCCAGGCAAACAGACTGCAGAAAATAGCACATGAGGTTGTCCCAACATGGTTCATGAAATTTCATTGCCTCCCTCATACAAGAACTCAGAGACTTCCAACCCCCTATTTCGGGCTGTGCCCCCCCTCCCTCATTTTGCGGTCAACATCTCTTAAAGATACACCCAACAACGTGGACGAACCATGGAATCCTGGACAGGTTTTTCTCAATATTTGTTGGAAGTCAACGTTTTTTTAGAAGGTGCCCAGTGCATGTTGGAACTAAACGCCTTTTCTTCAAGGGGCCTGGTGTATGTTGGAATTACATGTTTCTCTTCAAGGGGGTCTATGCGGGTGTCGTTTTTTTTAGGGGACCCCCCCAAAATAAATAAAGTAAAATGGTGGTTTTCCTTTTGGTTTCCCCTTAAACCAGACCCCAAAAAGGACTCCCTGAAAAAGGACGACACATCCAGATTTGCATGTCATCCCCGGACTCGCAACCACGATGGACTTCCCACGTCACGAGGCGGCTTTGGAGCGGCAAAGCCAAGAGCAGCTGGCGGAAGTGGAGGCGCAGCATGTGGCGCGCTGCCGGGAGCTCCAGCAGCAAGGCGCAAGCATTGGAAGGGGGGGGGGGGGTGGGGAAGAGGAGGGGGGTGGGGAGGGGGGGGAGTATGCTGGACATTGCAGGTCTGTTTTGCAACCCCCTTCTTTTAGGGTATTGGTTTTGTCGGAGGCTGAAGTGACTCGAAGTGTCAGGAACCAGAGGGAACCAGAGGGAGAGGGGAAAGAACCACACAAAATCCGCTGGGTCTATTTGCTTGGTCTGAGAGCCGTAAAAATCCAGAAAGTCATTGCAGCACAGATTAAAAAGAGCACAATTTGAAACCGAACACCAGCAGGATCAACAGCATCCGGGCAACACAAGACTCCAGTCAAAAGTTGTTTTGTCATCGCCAGAAGTAACAATGACTCAACTGGCTGACCTACGCAGGAGACCTAGGAAAAGATGCATGCCATATTATGCAAGAAACAACAGCAGTGCTTAAGCATGAAAGCTGAGGAAGACCTGCACCGTACCATCTACACGCTTGACATTGTCGGATTTCTTTGGCGTTGGGTTAGCCTTATGCATCATTTGATTTGTCATGTGAACTGCATCTGCAGCTTGTCCCGAAATGCAGGGCTGGAAGCTGCTCGCCGCGAAAGCGAAGAGCAAGAGATGCAGTACATGCAAAGGCTGAAGGCTGCTGAGCGTTCTCGCGATGAGGCGAGGCAGCGCGATCTTGCGAGCGACGGGAAACGAATCCTGCACACATGCAGTTTGTTGCGAGACCTGAACAAGCCTGTCCAGCATGCACTTGTGCTGTGGCTATTGGGAACCCAGTTTGTGATCATTCCCATACATGCATTGAGGGGTGGTCTTTTGCAAGGCTCTTGCTGCCGTCGAGACGCTGGAAACGCGAAGCGCTGCTTTGTGGGAGGAGCAAATGGCACAAATGGAGTCCCTGGGCTGTGAGTTGATCGCATAGCGCATCGGGCCCCATTTAAGAACGCATTTGGACCACTGGGTACGTGTTTTGCTTCAATTGGTCCAAGCGGCTAGGTTTTTGCTCCTTCTGCCCATGATTTTTAATGGAGAACCCTCAAGAGTGGTTGGTGGACACAACTCCCCACAAACAACACCTTTCGGTTTCCCCATGCAATTCTGGTTAGTAATGGGAGTTTCCCCATGTTTCCTTTTGGTTTCCTCCAATTCCTTTGGAAACGAATCGAGGCGGCGCGAGCTCCGGCGACCGTGCACAGGCCGGTCGCGCGCCGAGCTCGGGTTCCTTTTCGGCCTTCTCCCCAAACACAGAGCATGGCTTCCGTGGTTTCCGTGGTTTTCCTTTAAAACCCAAAGAAAGGCACCGTCAGAAAACACACCCATATCAGCCCATATCTCTCTCACTAAAAGGCGGGCCCTGCCAGGCGGGGTGCCCAAATATTAACACGCATGTAGACAGAGCTGTGAGCGGCCAGCGAGCTGTTCAGGCCCGCCACCGCGGGAGCCGATCCCAATGGTCAGCGACTCCTTTGACCGCGAGGTGTGCTTCGCATGTGCTGGTCCCAAGCGGACGCTGGTATGACCCGAGGTGCTGGGCAAAGCATCCAGGAATTCCGGGGGTGCACCGCAGCCAATAAAGCAACTCTTAGACAGCTGGGGCGGAGACTACTGCAAGCGCTTCTTGGATGCAGCGGCAGCATCCTGCACTGTGTTTTGCTTGCTTGCTTGCTTGTTTGCTTGCCTGCCTGCTTTCTTGCTTTACGTAATTGGGAGATCAGAAGCTTGAGTTTTGCGGCCGAACTCCCCGAGCAACCTGGGAGCTCAGGTCGAGAAGCGACGACCTTGGAGAGCATCGGGAGCCGCGGCAGCGCATGTGCCTGGGCAAACCAGGCTTCCATTTCTTGATTCCAAGGGAGACTTGAGGGGATCTCTGGGAATGCGTCTCTCGACTGGGACCCTGGGACTCGATCTTTGAGTTTGAGCCTAAGGGGCAGACACGAAGGCTTCTGAGAGCAAGCAGGCGCACGCAAGCGTGTGAAGTGAGCGCCCCCCCCTTTTTTGTGCTTTCGCTCGGAGGCTTTCACACGGTTCTGCAAGGCACCGCCAGACATTCCACCAGTGCTCCTCAGATTAGATTCTGGTATTCAGCGCTTGCAGCCTGTTCAAGAGCATGATTGCTTTGATCCATCATTAACCACTGCATCAACCTGACAACATGCCAGCCCATCTATGGCCTTCAAGTGGCTAGACTTGCCTCCTGCCTGATACATGCCTTTGCTTAGGTATCAGACTGCCGTTGCCGCTGTAGAACAGTACGGCTGGCAGGCCATACATGGGGATGCTGCGGAGACTGAGCAGCACTGGAAAGGGACCTGACCCGTTGACAACCCGAAGCGGCCTCAGGAGTGGACGGCCTTGCACTGGGCAGCACTTGCCGGCCACGTGGAGGTCTGCGAGCGACTTTTGGTGGCATCTGCCGAGCCACAACAGCCCGATCAAGCAGGAGCATGGTTCAGGAATGAATGCATGCCTTTTCTTTGGGCTCACCTCCTAGACGGTTTGTGTCTTGCCAGGAAAAACAGCCATGGACTATGCCCTGGAAGCAGGGCACGTTTGAACCTGAGCCTGCTTATTTCTGTTTCGATGAGATGCAGGCTGATTCCCGCAGCTCTCGCAAGTCTCTTTCGTCATTTTTGTACTCAGGTCGAAATCTTTGAGCTGCTGTCTGCCGCGACTGCAGTCGCCAATGCTCAAAAAGATTTGGGCGACGCGCAGACGTTTTTTTGTTTGGCCAGCACGAGATAAGCAACAGGTTGGTCTCCCAATGCGGACGGCCCAAAACTTCGAGATCAGTGAGAGTCTCAGCGCCGCTGTGGTGAAACATTGGGGAATCAATGGTCTGTTTTGTTTTGGAGGTTTTGAAGGAAAGCCAAAAGGACAACCACACATTTTTGGTCCATTTTTTTTGGGTGGAGCCCTAAAAAGAGTCATACCCGGTATGCTTTTCTAGATGTGTTGACTCGATGAGGTTCCTCCGAAATGGGTGCTAGTCTGCACTTTGAGCCGTACGCCTTGCTTTCTTTTTGGAGCGCGATCTCTTTCCATGATTAAATGTTTGGTGCGGACAAGATTTAGGTCAGCAGTGTTGGCCTGCCTATCAACGCCAGGTTCTTTGTACCTCGGGAGCCAGCGCTTCATGAGCCTCGGCACCGGGAGGATGCGTTGCATTGGCCTCGGGAGCCACAAGTTGATGTCTGGGCGATTTGGGACAGGCAACCTGTTTGCGGGAACCCGTTCATGAATCCCTCGTCGAGGGGCCTCTATGTGCATTTGGAATTGGGGTGCGCAGAGCGACACTCTCGCGCATTTCAACAGAAGTAATGCCTTGTAGTATGCATTGCACTGCGTTTGGCAGCTGTCTCGGCTTACTTGAGAAGCCGAAGATGCGCAGCAAGTCTGCTCTTCACATTATCGCACTCAAGGCATGTTTTCTCTGAAGAAGACTCAAAAGGCTGAGAAGACAAAGCAGGCTAAGGAAAACAAGTCTCGCATATGATCGCACATGCGGTTTTTAGAAGATAACTTCCCGTGTTTCGAGTTGCGCTACAAACTTGGACAGGCAGACAAGGCCAAGCTAGCTGCAACAAAAGGAGGCGAGTGGCATTGCTCATGAATGTATTTAATCTTGAGTTCAGCGTGCTTCTAAAGATGGGCCCGGGATTTATGTCTACAGTTCATACATATATTCGAGGCCAGAACTCTGAGCTGGAGCAAGCAGAGGCTGGGAAAGACCCACCTGCATGTGAGAGTCGTCCGAAAGGTCCTTGTATTGAGCTATGAAGGGGAAGACCTTTTGGTCTTGGCGTTGACCTCCGCGAAAGTTCCGCGAAAGGGGGTCGCGAAAGTTAATTTTTTATTCGCGAAAGTTTTGTGTAAGGGTGGCTTGCTAACAGGAAGCTGGAGTGATAACCATGTGTATTTACCGGCAGTGCGGGCAGAATGCCCGCAGACCAAAGTTGGCCAGGGAATGCGCAGCCTGAGGGTCGCCGCAAGAATACGCCGCTGCAAAAGCAACCCCCAGCCAGCAGAAACCGGCTTGTGGGAGTTTTGAAGCTTTCGGGTCAAGTTGAGTGCAACTTCCAGCCGGAGTTTCGCGAATGTTTGGCGTAAGATCCGCGAAAGTTTCGCGAAAGTCGACGGACCTCCCCGCCAGTTTCCAGACATGAGGCCAACGGGTCCTCTGAGCTGGAGCTGCGGAAACGCGCTTCGCGTGCTACTTTGGAACTGAAAGGTTGCGACTTTCGAGCTGGGGCTGCGGAAGCTTACTTTGTGTACTACTTTTGTATTAGAAAGCTTTGACTTTCGAGGCTGCGGAAGTTTAGTTCATGTACTACTTTCGTATTGAAGAGTTGCGCGACATTCAAGCAGGGCTGCGGAAGTTTACTTTGCTACTTTCGTATTGAAAAGCTGCGGCTTTCGAGCTGGGGCTGCGAAGTGTACTTCGTGTATTACTTTTGTGATGAATGTTCTGAAAACAGCCCCGCGAAAGTTCCGCGATGGGGTCCGCGAAAGTTAATTTTTTTCTCGCGAAGATGGCGGTTTCCGGAACAAGGAATTTCAGATAACTGTCATGTGCGCGTGTGTTTGAACCTTGGCCGGCATATTCGTCACCCTTTCAGGTCGATTTCTTCGGCTCCATGGGCAAGGAGCGTGAGCCGGACTCCTATAGTTTTTCTGATGGCCGTCAGACTGCATGAGAAATTTGAGCAGTGAATGAGGAAGGACGGCAAGCTAAAGCCGGACCCTGAAAAGGTGAAGGTTCCCCTTGCATGTCTTCGGCTTAGGCCATCTCAGCAGCCATTGTGCCAGGTGAGCGAAAAGGAGTACAACCCATTTTTGCGTGGAGAGGAGTCCAATCTTCCAGCCAGCTGCCCGGGGTTTATTCGCCTTCGCTTGTCTTGAGTGCTTTGAGTGACTTTTGTTGAGGTGCCAGAGTCCGCGAGCGCCAGCAGCATCCCGAAGGATCTATGCCCGATTCCTTGGATGATACTGGCGCATTCTCGAGCCCTCGAGCGCTAGGTGTGGGCGCTGCCTGGGCTGGGAAGAATGATTGGAGGAAGCGCGCGCAGAGGCGGCAGGCTGCTCCTTGGCTTACCGGTTTGTTTTGTGATGACTGGAAAAACTAGAGGACGATTGGCCCGAAAGCATTTTTCCCCAGGTGCTCATCCAGCCGCAGACACCTTGTTACCTTGCTGCGGCGAGCGTGTCCGCGCGCGGCGATGCTCAATGTGTATGGTCACATGAGAGCTCCATCTCATCGTCCTACGAGAGGAAACATGGCAGTGCTCGATCCCACATATTTTAACGCCTCCGGCTGAGGCCGCCGACATTACAGGCCTGCTTTCTTATTTGCGTCCCTTTGGAATTGTCCCCTTGCCCCCTTCCCCTCTGAGATTTTTGCCCCCCTTTCTTTGTTGAGATCCATGCCCCCTTTCCGCCCTAAGGCCTTTTCTCCCTCTGTTTTTTCTCTTTTCCTCCCTAAGATGTTTTCACCCCTCTCCTTGTTGAGATCCTTTCCCCCCTTTCCTTTCTAAGGCCTTTTCCCCCCTGAGATCTTCTCCCTTTTCCTCCCTTTCCCCCACTTTCCCTCCTACGGCCTTTTCCTCCCTGGGATCTTTTTCCTTTCCTCCCTGAGATCTTTCCCCCCCTTCCCCCCTACGGCCTTTCCCCCCGCTGAGATCTTCTCCCTATTCCTCCTTAAGATCCTTTGCCCCCTTTCCCTGTTGAGATCCTTTCCCCCCTTCCCTTTAAGGCCTTTCCAGATCTTCTCCCTTTTCCTTCCTAAGTTGTTTCCCTCCTTTCCCTGTTGAGATCCTTCCCACCCTTTCCCCCCTCAGGCCTTTCCCCCCCCTGAGAGCTTCTCCCTTTTCCTTCCTTAGATCTTTCCCCCCTTTCCCTGTTGGCCTTTTTCCCCCCAGATCTTCTCCCTTTCCTCCCTAAGATCTTTTCCACCCCTTCCCTGTTGAGATCATTTCTCCCCTTCCCCCTCTAAGGCCTTTGTCCCTAGGTCTTCTCCCTTTCCTCCCTAAGCCTGCTGAGATCCCTTTCCCCCTTTCCCCCCTAAGGCCTTTCCCCCCCCTGAGATCTTCTCCCTTTTCCTCCCTAAGATCTTTTGCCACCTTTCCCTGTTGAGATCCATTCCCCCTTTCCCCCCTAAGGCCCTTTCTCCCTCTGAGTTTTTCCCTTTTCCTCCCTACGATGTTTTCCCCCCTCTCCCTGTTGAGATCCTTTCCCTCCTTTCCTCCCTAAGGCCTTTTTTCCCCTCGCGATCTTCCCCCTTTTCCTTCCTAAGTTCTTTTCCCCCCTTTCCTTGTTGAGCTCCTTTCCCCCTTTTCCCCCTAAGGCCTTTTCAGATCTTCTCCCTTTTCCTCCCGAAGATCCTTTGCCCCCTTTCCCTGTTGAGATCCTTTCCCCCCTTTCCCCTAAAGGCCTTTTCCACCCTGAGATCTTCTCCCCTTGTCCTCCCAAGATCCTTTTCCTTGGTTGAGATCATCCCTTCCCCCATGAAAATCTTCTCCTTTTCCTCCCTAGGATCCTCTCCCACCTTTCCCTGTTGAGCTCCTTTCCCCCTTTTCCCCCTAAGGCGGTTTCAGATCTTCTCCCTTTCCTCCTAAGATCTTTTCCACACCTTCCCTGTTGAGATCATTTCTCCCCTTTCCCCTCTAAGGCCTTTGTCCCCAGATCTTCTCCCTTTCCTCCCTAAGATCTTTCCCCCCCCCCTTCCCTGCTGAGATCCCTTTCCCCCTTTCCCCCCTAAGGCCTTTCCCCCCCCTGAGAGCTTCTCCCTTTTCCTTCCGAAGATCGTGTCCCCCCTTTCCCTGTTAGGCTTTCCCCCCTAAGTCCTTTTCCCAGATCCTCCCTTTCCTCCCTAAGATCTTCCCCCCCCTTTCCTCCTTAAGATCTTTCCCACCCTTTCCCTGTTGAGATCCTTTCCCCCCTTTCCCTCCCAAGGCCTTTCCCCCCTTCTCCCTGTTCCTTCCTAAGATCTTTTCCACCCTTCTAAGTCCCTTTCTCCCAGATCTTCTCCCTTTCCTCCCTAAGATCTTCCCCCCCCCTTTCCTTCCTAAGATTGTTTCCCCCCTTTCCCTGTTGAGATCCTTCCCACCCTTTTTTTCTGAGGCCTTTTCTCCCCTGAGAGCTTCTCCTTCCTTAGATCTTTCCCCCCTCTTTTTTCCCCCAGATCTTCTCCCTTTCCTCCCCAAGACCTTTTCCACCCCTTTCCCTGTTGAGATCATTTCTCCCCTTTCCCCCCTAAGGCCTTTGCCCCCAGATCTTCCCCCTTTCCTCCCTAAGATCTTTCCCCCCTTTCCCTGCTCAGATCCTTTCCCCCCTTTCCCCCCTTCCTGTCCCTAACATCTTTTGCCATTTTTCCTTGTTGAGATCCATTCCCCCTTTCCCCCCTAAGGCCCTTTCTCCCTCTGAGTTTTCCCTTTTCCTCCCTACAATGTTTTCCCCCCTCTCCCTGTTGAGACCCTAAGGCCTTTTTTCCCCCTGCGATCTTCCACCTTTTCCTTCCTAAGATCTTTTCCCCCCTTTCCTTGTTGAGATCCTTTCCCGTTTTCCCCCCCAAGATCTTCTCCCTTTTCCTCCCTAAGATCCTTTGCCCCCTTTCCCTGTTGAGATCCTTTCGCCCCTTTCCCCCCTAAGGCCTTCCCCCCCCTGAGATCTTCTCCCTTGTCCTCCCCAAGATCTTTTCCCCCGAGATCTTCTCCCTTTTCCTCCCTAGGATCTTGTCCCACCTTTGTCAGATCTTCTCCCTTTTCCTCCCTAAGATCCTTTGCCCCCTTTCCCTGTTCAGATCCTTTCCCCCTTTCCCCCCTAAGGCCTTTTCAGATCTTCTCCCTTTTCCTCCCTAAGATCCTTTGCCCCTTCCCTGTTGAGATCACCCTCCTTTCCTAAGGCCTTTGCCCCAGATCTTCTTCCCCAAGATCTTTCCCTTTCCCTGCTCAGATCCTTTCCCCCCTTTCCCCCCTAAGGCCTTTCCCCCCCTGAGATCTCCCTTTTCCTCCCTAAGATCTTTTGCCACCTTTCCCTGTTGAGATCCATTCCCCCTTTCCCCCCTAAGGCCCTTTCTCCCTCTGAGCTTTTCCCTTTTCCTCCCTACGATGTTTTCCCACCTCTCCCTGTTGAGATCCTTTCCATCCTTTCCCCCCTAAGGCCTTTTTTCCCCCCGCGATCTTCCCCCTTTTCCTTCCTAAGATCTTTTCCCCCCTTTCCTTGTTGAGATCCTTTCCCGCCCCCCCCAAGATCTTCTCCCTTTTCCTCCCTAAGATCCTTTGCCCCCTTTCCCTGTTGAGGTCCTTTCCCCTCTTTCCCCCCTAAGGCCTTTCCCCCCCGAGATCTTCTCCCTTGTCCTCCCCAAGATCTTTTCCCTTGTTGAGATCCTTTCCCCCTTTCCCCCCAAGATCTTCTCCCTTTTCCTCCCTAGGATCCTCTCCCACCTTTCCCTGTTGAGCTCCTTTCCCCCTTTTCCCCCTAAGGCCTTTTCAGATCTTCTCTCTTTTCCTCCCGAAGATCCTTTGTTCCCTTTCCCTGTTGAGATCCTTTCCTCCTTTCCCCCCTAAGGCCTTTT